AAATGCTTTGATATCAATAAATTTTAAACTTTCCATTTAGTGAGGTCACATAATTCTAGACATTCCATTGTACTCTAGATACTTTTACTTCATATAGTTAGCTGAGAGTCGTTTCTTTTTCGTCAACAATGGATAAGAAAATGTGATTTAAAGTTAAAAATTAATGAACAGTAATTTCAAACCTAGACGGATTTATTATTTCCTGTTTCAACCTAGTTTTCATATTTGAGTTGCGTCAAATCTAATGAGATGATGACCTTGTTGACTTATTGTCTCACTTTAATTGTTTGCAATCAAAGACGGATATTAGAATAAAAACCCTGTGCCTATAAAAGTATTTTTTGTTTTAAGTAGCTCGATGCCATTTGAAAACGACAGCAAGCATTAGTAAGAATAGCAGAATATGAAGTAGGTTTATTAAAAATAATAACATTGATAACAACTATTATTAATTTCAGAATGTTCAACTATGTATCAGAAGAAAAAAGACACAAGACAATGCCTTGAATTATCTGTCTTCATTTTACGACTAATCCGACTGTTTTCAGGAAGTAATTGTTTGGCAGTTGTAGAAAACCTAACAAAATAGTTGATGTCGACTATGAATACATTGTTGAGAAAAAGATTCAAAATTATTCATCAAAAATTAACATCATTATTTACTAATGTTTTGATATATTTTTGAAATTATACATTCAGTCATCAGCTAGAGTAGTAATAGCGAGACACAAACTCATCAACATTCGAAAGTTTTTTTTTCAATGAAGAACATCACGATTAAATAGAATATATTAACAATTGAAATACCCCGCATTGCTTCTATCTAGAGGTTCTTACGTGTATTGCTCGTTTACAAGTTTCTCTGAAAAAATATGAAATATTATAAAGAAAACAAGCTGTCTCTTAAGTATTTTAATTTCTTATCGTATTGTTTAATGATAAAAAGTCGACTTGGTGGCAGTTGTTCAATCCTTGTCTTGAACAATCTCAGATTGAATATTGTAAAACATTAATTCTCGTTCTTCATTGTTTGATCAGCTAAGAAAAACCTTAGTAACATGACGTTCCTGTTATTTTCTCTCGCACGTATTCGTGAATATGAAAGAAAAACCGACAAGAAAATATAGAAGGAATTGTGTTTCATTTCTCAATTGTTTGCTTTGTTAAGACATTCTAACAATAGTATAATATTCACAAGAAAGGAAAAATTCATTATATGGCAATGTGAAAAGAAAGACTACGTATTATATCATAGCCTGAATGATAGACAATAGACGAAGGAAACCGAATCATGCGATTATTTTGTTAATATTTATCGAAGAAAATTTCATCTTTATTATCAGTAATTTCATTTCAAGAAGACGAGTTTGTTGATCAATTATTCTACGCCTTTGAATAACTATAGAAAATGATTTCGTATACTACAAAAGACAAGGCAACTCTAAGTCGCAACATATCGGTAATGAAATTGACAAAATACGAGCATGATTCTGATTATATATTTTTTTTAATAATCGAAGAGTTGTGGTTTAAATTAATAAGATAGTGATCAATGTAATACCAAGGAATTCTTGCACAAACATGACAAGTTAGTCGAAATGCATTTTGACTACAGAATATGAAACAATAAAATCTTAAGACGAATGTTTAAGCTGACGTGAAAAATAATTCTAGATTTATGTAATAAATAATTCTATGCTCAAAGTTGAATTCCATAATTTAATTAAAATGAATTATACTTAATTCTATTATTCATGTGTAAACATGCGAGGCTACCAGTTTAAAAAGAACAAGTTTCTTTCTTTGTAAAACTTAAAGATTTTCAGATGAGCAAGATCATTGTACGAGATAAATGTAGACGTTTTGTTCATACAATATGCTTCAACGTCTGTTAGAACTTAAGTATCAATTTCAACTTTTAAAATTCATGGAACCTGGTAAAATTGCTTGCTCCCGAACCAACTCGATCTATTCTATTTCTAATTACTTTTTATTCAATCATCATATTCGTAGTCAAAAAAGATGTTAACCATCACGCAAAGTTCCTTCGTTAGATATTAAAAGCATGCAAATAATTTTGTATTCCATAAAATTATGATTGCATGATGTATCTAAACAAAAAAGATTAATATTCTGAATTTTTTCGCCTGATTATCATCATCAGATAAAATTAATGCTTCAAACCATTATTAGATTGTCTTTTTATTATCATCTGTAGTCTATCTATATATCTCAACCTTGATTTTCAGCTTGTCTTCAGCTTTCTCGACTTAATGAGTTTTCATTGACTTTTTATAATAAAATATAAGTTGCAAATAGGCACACGTGTAAATATAATTACGAACGATTTTAATTTCTATAAATACATTACTAATGTGATATTAGGTGCCTGGAATAGCAAAGGTGAAAATTTTCCACGCATCACTACCAACAATTCACGTGGTAAATGATGAAAACAAGAAAAGAGAAAAACAAATGAAAAAACGAACCAACACTAACTTAATGATAGAGATGTGTCAAAAGTAATATATGTTCATACGATATGCGATGCTGTATTCGTACTTTTAGTATAGTAGGAAAAAATTGCTAACATTTATGTTTCTTTCATACAAAAAAAAGACGCATGCAATAGGGATGTCTTCCTATTGATTGGCTGTAGATGACTGAAAGGCAGAGAGAAATTTCACAGATGAAAGAATACGAACAGCATCCAGAAGACATACAGACAGAAACTCAAATAGAGACTATATTAAACTATAAAGAACTTAATTTTAATTTTAGGTGATTGTTATTTTGCATAAAGAAAATTATTTGAATTATTGGATCTTCGAACAAACCATCAAAGGTAACTTCAGAAAACTAGACTAAACCAGGATATTTTCCTTCAAAGATAAGCATACATTTATACATGTATAGATACTTGTCAAATTGACATACTATAAACAAGAAAATAAACATTTTATTAAGCATTTATTTGAACATCTACGTGTACGACAAAAAGGACTTCAAATTAATGAATGTATAAAAAAAAGCCGTTTTGATTCTTCTTTAAAAACTAATACAATGATAATAATCTCTTTTAAACTAAGAGAGCTAACCTACATTCGTGTGTTAAATGTGCAAATCTCAGTGGTTTATTATGTTTTTCTTACATGTTCTAGGTGTCAAAGTCTTTTTTTATACTCGATATTATATAATTGAATACGAGAGGATAAGAAGCTCTTGTGACTGACACTTACAGGATTGAAAAAAAGGAGAAACATGGGCTCATATCCGTATGTCATGCTTATAATAACCCTGTCAAATTTATATATGCCTTCATATTTAATGAAGGAAGTAGAGTTTTAAGGTAAATTTAACATATCGATAATAAGAGCAAGAAACAGAACTATATATAACTATCGCATAGATTTCAAAGAATAGTGATAGCAGTAGTCATGTCTCTAGTTAAAATAAATTGAGCTCCATAATATTATACATGCTATAGAAAAGAAATACTCGCAGGATAAACTAATGTATTCATGCATTTGACTTGACATATACAAGTGAATCGATGACTTTTGGCGATAGCTAGCGTTTGTGAGATCAAGAATAAAAATAAAGTAAGACATGAATAGACTACAAAGGAATTGCGCACATTTACATGCTCTTAAAAAACGATTGTATAGTTATTCACTCGTTTAGGACGACAGGCAAGAGAACTTGATATATGAGTGTTCTTTTTTATACTAGTTTTCTTTGTTTATAATTATTTATTCATCATGATTTATGCATCATGCAAGTGAGAAAAGATAAATGAATACTTTCAACAGTAAACTATATATATATAGATTGAGTAATAAAATATAATGAGACTAATCTCGTTGAAGCTCAAAACAAAATCGAGATTAAGAAGACTACTTCGTTTGTCTCACTTCAATGAGTCTTCTGTGATGTAGATTTTCAAAAGCTGTCATATACGATGAACTGTCTTTTGTAGAAGAAAATCATCTTTTCTTTTTAGTAGTAGTTTATTGTTTGCTTCAAATTTTTGTCTTAATCTTGTTGAATCTTGTCGTGCACATTGCCCGTCAGGCAATCCATATCCTGTTCCTCTGTCAGTTTATGAACGCTAAGACGATCCTCGGCAAATTGAAGACATATCCTTTTCGTAAGCGACGACAATAATGTTAGCTGAATTACTTCATCACTTTGGTAACATCTATATCACTAAGAATACATCATTACATGGTTGCCACACGAGACAAGAAGAAGAGAAACACACGCCATCAAGATTTGCACTACGGGTGAATTGAAGAGAATTTTAATGATTATTGACCGTGATGGAATTTCGATGGAATTGAAATATTAAGAAAAAAAAGATTTGATAGTTTTTTTGTTTTTACGGTGAAAATATCTAAAATAGGTGAAATTTAGGATGATGATTTGAACAGTAAAATTAGCATTTAAGTTAGTTATCAGTTTATTTGATTAAAAATGAAGTTTTTTAATCTAAAATATTCAATTAAACTAATAAATTAGTCAGCTTATTATTTTATATTTCCATGTGATGAGATTGCTTTTTTCTAGTGTAATTTTTTGAATCGTAATAATATAAATTTCTAAGTTTTTTTTGTAGCATTTTCATATACTAGTGTAAATTAACACAGATTTGAACTTCCACATGATATAATAATCGTCAACATTCTTTAATCGAATGCATCAAATCTTGTGCGTCAACATCCATAGTAATTATCGAGGTTTTTTCGGTTCTTTCTTTTTATTAAATACTTTTCTTTTACATTATGATTCGCTCATCTTTTAGATATTAATTATTATCTGTATTTTTTCTTCGATCATTTTTCTTCATCACTCATACACATATACGAGTTTTAAAGGCTCTTTTTTGTCCAACATAAAACCCTATCAGCATTCTTATCCAGATTATACCTACAGACATTTCATTAAGGATTGTCAAATACATTACGATTATTCAAACAGATATATTTACTCGAAGCACAATGTACATACAACACGACGTGGTATGTCATTTATTTGTTCATATCTTTTCAATATAGAGACATAATTTAAATTGTGAGAGATTAAATCATATTTTCGACGCATTATAAATTAATGAAAGCTTTTTCTCTTTTTACATCTATCGATATATATATGTAAGAGCAAAAATAATTGTTTACAGACATAAACATCTTTTTTTTTATAGATGTTAGAAACAGCTGTTCTCTGATTAAATAAAAATCGATTGAGCAGTTTACTTTCGTAAGTTTTACTTGTTAATCTACTTTTTCTATTTCTTTCTCTCTACCTTTACTATTCATCCATTAATCTCATTGCAAGATATATAGATATCATGAACATCACCGAAATTCTTTAGATGCTTATCTACTGAATTCTTCTATAAATCCTAGTAAATGCAGCTTGTATGAAATACATCAAATTTATTTCTTCGTCTGAAATTCATCTACTAGTGCAGATACAAAAGATGTTCGCAGTTTTTTTCTTCACAATTAGTCACACGCGATCTTGAAAAACATGGTAGAGACAGAAAAAACTTGGGTGCTATTAACAGCCTTTTTTTCTATAGTTCCACGACTGTAGTCATACTTTTCTTTCTTTTTGTCGCATTTCCGTTTATCACTTTTGTTGTTGTCAGTGTGCATTGACATCTCAAGCCTGTAAGGCACAGCAAGAAAAGTAATGCTGTAAAAAATTCTATTTAGAACTTAGATTCTCCAACAGCATCGGCCAATAGCCCTAAACCAAAGCCAATTTCAATGATTATGGTTGATCAAGACACACGCTATCGACTTGTTTTACTTGGAGCTAGTCGTACAGGAAAATCGTCGATTGTTCATATGTTTTTAAATGGAAAATTTTTGGAAACGTATAAGGAAACTGTTGAAGATTTGCATTACCGAGAATTTATTGTAGATGACAAAACAATTAAAGTTGACATATTAGATACTGCCGGTAAATGAAAATGAGATAAAAACTTGAATTAATTGATTCATATATATATATATATTTATTTATTTACTAATTTAGGTAACATGGAATTCCCTGCAATGCGTCGTTTATCAATTGCTACATCACACGCATTTATTCTTGTTTATAGTAAGTTCACGAATACAAATGCCCGTATAACTATATATATGTATTCAATGCTTAGGTGTCGATAGTATAGAATCATTGAATGAAATCCGTTGTATTATCGAACAAATAAAAGAACAGCGAACAAATTATGCTGAAATTCCAATCGTTATTGTTGGAAACAAGACTGATCGTACTGGTGTACGTGAAGTCGATGAACAACATGTAAGAACAATGCTCAATGAACTTGGTCCATTACATTGTGGCTTTGTTGAATGCACTGCACTTGATCGTGCATCAATAATAGATATATTTCTTAAATTACTTAGCCTTGTACAATTATCTGCCGCAAGACAATTAAGTCCAATATTAACAAGAAAAATTAGTGAACGTCTCAAGAAAAACGAATTCGACGATAAAAGTGAAACGGGTTTTAGTCGTAGTCGAAGTCTTATACGAAGAACATCTGTGAAAAAGAAGGCAACATCATCCAATGGTAAACATCCATCTAAGACACTTGATTGTTTAATATCTTAAATTTCTTTATTGATTTTTTTCAACCCTTTACACGTATTACCCTTTATCTCTCGTCTGCAATAAAAAATATTCTTTTTTTCTAAGTTCTTATTAAACTGGAATATTATTTGTTCTTGCCCATGATCGCATAATTTTAATCATTTGTTCTCCTAGAAGAAAAAACAACAAAATTATACAATTTTGTTGTTATCTATTTCAATATAATTAATTTTTACCTTGTGGATGATTCGTATTTCGTAACAACGATAAAATATCCCGAAGCGTATCACTAAAAGAGAAAAAATAAATATATATATATATATATATTTGAAATTATGCATAATAACTTTTACCGAGGTTCGTGACCGGCAACTATTTGTTGAAATGCACCAGCACATGCACCTTGTTTACCTTCCCAAAATTCTGGATTGGGATCCATACGTTCAAGAATATCAAAACCACGAGCAGCGTAAAAAAAGTGCCCACGCTAAAGTAAAAACAAATAAAAATTAGAAAGATTTTCTTCTGATTGGGAATTTTATTATACTTTGTAACAATCATTTGCTATTAATTGAAGTAATGAAAATGATTCATTGGAATGTTCTAATTTAAGATAAAGTTCCCATGCAAGACGTGGTTTACCATTATAAATGTAACATCGTGCTAACCAACTCAAATAAACATAATCATTCTTTAATTTTTCACTTTGAATAAGTAAAAATGCCTTTTCAAGAACAAAAAATAGTAGCATCGTTATTTTACTCAGTTCTTTTTTCATTAAATAAAATATTTACTTCTTCTGCTTCTTTCCATTTTTCTTCGTGTGCTTTCGCCTGTCCATAGTTGAAATTGAATGTATCATCATTATAGAAATAAGTCTAGTAGGAAAAGTGAAAATTAATTTAACACTGTTTTTATATGCCATTTTGATTATATAGAAAACAAACTTTTATTGAACTTAAATAGACAATAACGTCGTCGAAACGTTTATGAAGAAAATAGCAGGCCGCCATACTTTGTCTGCCAGGAATCGTATCTAAATGACAGAAAAACACGTTTTTCGATCTTGAACTTGAAATTGTAAATGAATTTTTAATTTATTTAAATATTGTAATCAAATTGAATAATGCGTTCAGTTTTTATATTTAATTCAATAAAATTTTGTTTCTTTCCTGACTGACTATGAACGTCTGATCAATTGAAATTTTATTTTCGTGGAATTAAAGTCTCAATCTATTCGCTATGAATCTGCGAATAGAATATATTTTTTAATGATATCTGTCAGCACGCTTGCTAAAAATCTGTAAAATAAATCTGAATAATCTGTGACCAAGTCTTTATTTGAATAGATTTCTTGCATTCGTAGCAGACAGTTTAATAATATACTTCATGTTTAATAAGCGCATTTTCTAGCTCTGCCGTGTTCTTGATTTATTTATTTTATTCAACTGGATTATTTAATTATGGAAGAATCAACTTTGACACAGATATTCGAAGTGCAAGTTTTTATTTTATCGTAGATGTAGTAAAATTTATCGTTTTTAATTCAATGGAAAGAATCATTCAGTACGAAATTTTCATCTTTATATCAATGTAAGCAGATTTTATTCGTTGATATGTATAGTCTTCACATATATACTATTCTTTGTATTTAAGAATAAAATTCGTCTACCTATTGAACCAGAAAATAATGCAACACATTTCTTTTCCAAATTCAACGCAAAATTATTAAACTAATGAGCCTAATAGCCGTCGGTTGTTTTCCAGATTACAATCATCTAGTATTAAAAGCAACGTTTCTCTCGATAAAATAGCCGAACTTGGATCGAGTTGAATTATCAACAAAAAGAGTTTACGCCTAATCGTGTCATGCAAGCATTTCTATGAATCTTGAACTCGGTCTGCAATGGAAGCATGTTCAGCACAAAGAAAAGTTATTCTTATTACTGTCTTGAATTAAAATCTCTATCAAATAGGGTAGAAAAAAATGAATACAACAGGATCGTACGCGTCGATTGATCTTCTACATGAACGAGTTTTTTCATTATTTGATACCAAAGAACGATGTAAAGTAAATGCTCACTACCTATCTAATGATGATATAGAAATTACATGCAGAGTTACACACAGAACAATTGGGCCTCGAGTTCTATTGAGTCAAAAAAAACAAAATGATTCCGATGTCAAACGCTATTAGATAATAATGTTCAAGAGAAAATTACATTTTTAAAAGGTTTCTCTTATTCAATTTCACTTTTTCGTTGACAACGGAATAGATTGTGCAAAAGAATTGCAAATTTGAAATAGTATTTACCGCATTCACTAGCTGAACCACCAACTAATTGAAAATAGGATTGTGCAGTTTTAATATGATCACGCTAAATATCAGGAAATTTCTTAATAATAAATATATATATATATATAATTCAAATTTCAACATACTGAATTATGTTCTTGTCCATAAGCAGCATTAACAACACCTTTCAATATATATTCGGCTGGTTGTAATGGTTCAACATCTTTCATTAAATCGTAAGCATGATCAAGGTCATCTAAAAATCATCAAGAAAAACGAAAATCATGTGAAATAAGTTTTAAAAATGTTATCTAGTCAATACCCTCTTTGAGATAATAAATGACCAAATTTAAACGTGCTTCTGGAATAACGTCTACTAGTGGCGGTAGCACTTGAAGAGCACCTTCACCATTTTGAAAAACAACCTTTTTGAAAAAGAGTTTTTATATTTAAAAAGACATAAAAACAAGCTTAGAATTTTTCTTAATTACCATATTATGACGAAATAGCTCTTTAGCATAATTAAATGAGGTACTCATTTTTTCAAGAAACTGTTTTAGATCATTCTAAAGAAATAAAATTTCTATTTTTATTCTAATATATCTATACATTTTTATACTTCAGCTGCTTTTCCATTATATAATCGATATTGATTACAGGCTTGCAAATTGGTTGCTGTTGCTGATTCTGGATTCTTTTTTAAATAGACATCGAGAACTTCTTGTGATATATCATAATAATCAAGCTTATAATAACAAAGTGCTACATAAACATTTAATGCTAAATAATCACTGTAAAAAGAGACAATGAAGTATCGTTTAATTGTGAGAAAAAAAGCTACAACAATGAGTACCGATTTTCAACTAAATAACGCTTGTAAATATCTAATGCTTCTTGAAAATGACTTCTCATATAATGCATACTGGCTAGACACATTTGATCTTCAATGACATCTTGTAATTGTCGATGTAAACCCATTAATTTTTCTTCATTATTCTGTTTATGTGCAACATGAAATAAAACTCTTGTTTGTAATGCAGATTTTGGACCTGTCAAACAAATTTAGAATAATAAATAACATGATAACAAGAACAAAAAGAAAAGTATTTTCTATTAACCTTTTGCTGCTGTTTGTTCAGCGTCATCATATTTGCCTAACATAAAATAACAACAAGCAAGATATATGTACACTAGACTATTTCTTGGATCATTTTTGAGAATATTTTCATATTCCTAGATATAAAATAAATAAATGAACTTAAAGATCATAGAAAAAAATTATTGAAAATATAATAAATTTATATAAATAAATACATTGGATGAGTTCTATGAGAAACTAAAGAATCTATCTTATAAGTTCTATGAACATACGAGTCTGATAATTCGAAAAGCTATTTAGAAAAGAAACAAGAAATATTCGATGATGAAACAAGTCTATATATTATATTAAACTAAGTAAAACTATTCGAACTCACAATCTACAGATGAAAAAGAAGAATGATCACTTTACTTGAATTTTTATTGATATGGACTCGTTTACTATGCAAAAAACTATTATGAAAAGTTCTTGGACTATCTAACGATTACGAAGTCTATCGATGAATGCAATTTCCAGTTGAAGTCTTTTATTAAAATTACTTTAATCGAGTTCTTCTCAATAAGAATTTAAATAAAACGTTGAGTTCATGTCGTCAGTGCATTAGTGATCGGAACTCTTTAAGGTTACTCTACATGAATATAATCATCTATCGAGTGAATCGATATCGAACGGGCTATGTATGATTATTTCTTTGTCAGTGAAGGATATCCTTATATATGTGTTATCGACACTTACCGAAAGTTATGCTAATGTGCTAAGACGCATGCCAATTAGTCAAGTAAAATCTGATGTTAAAGTTTTAGTTAAGTATACTATTTAAAATTTTAGATGTGATAGATTCTGGCAGTTGTTACGCAATTGATTACGGTGACCTCTAATATCTGTACAACAGATTATATAGCCATCTAAATAGTATATATTCTGTTTTTATCTAATATCTTTTTCTCATCACATTAATGATGACTATAAAATTTTAACATTTCTCAAAACAACCCTCAACTATTGAATAGTTAAGAAGCAAAAGAACAAGTTAAGTGTTACTGAATGATTATTCTCCTCGACAAAATTATAGAATAATCCACTCGAATAGTAAAAATTTCACAACAGCAGTTTTTGAAGGAATTTCTAAATCTTCGCACAGCGTATGAAAAAGGAAATTTTCATCAAACGAACGCAATTAATTTTCTTACTTCACTTGCTCTTTGATAATCTCCGGCATGAAATGCGGCAAAACCTAACCAAAGATCAAGGTCTTTAACTTCCTTGCCACTTTGTCGACAAAACTATTAAAAAAAAGTAAACGCGAAAGAAAATAAACAATATAGAGCTAAAGAAAAATAGTAAGACAATTACTTCAAGATACGCAATTGCACCTGTATAATCCCGTTCAGCAATAAAATCTTCAACTTCACCCACTTTCTTTTTATTTTTTTCTTGAGCTGGTGTGGCTCCTTTCTTCTTTGGATCGTCGGCCGCTTTAGTTCGTGAGAGAATCTAGTCAAAAAATACATATATTCGTTTTAAAGTTGAAAATATTGAACATACCATATTTATTATCTAATATCAATGTAATACGAATAATATCGAGTAGTGTTGTATTTACCATAGATGATGAATTTAACTATGCAACCCCTCTAAAACAAATTTTTTTTGTTACTCTTTGCTAGATGTCGCATGTAACTTATTGCCAATAAGTCACATACGGTATCGTAAATGTTCATCAAGAAAAATTATTCATTGCAATCGCTAGACAAAAAAATATATATTACTATCTACAAATCCCTATCTTTCTCGAAAGAAAGTACTACTTTACACGATTGAAGTTTACATCGAAAGCCTTTTTTCAGGTGTGATCATAGAAAAATTCAAATTGTAAGTGCAATTTCTCTAAACTATATTTGAAAATAATTCGAAAAGGGAGAAATTTCAGAGTTCTTTTGTTACCCATTATAGTACAGTCAAGTCACTATTATTCTGTAACAAATGAAGACATATATATATACATAGATAGTATGAAAATTCATGAAAGACTGATATTGTTCCTCATGATTCGTTAGAATATGACTTGTTAAATGTAGAACAAAAGTAAATAATTCTTATTTTCTTTATGGTTTTGTTGCGCAGAAAACTAAATTTGTTCTTTCATAAAAATTGACATTCTTATCGTATGTTCGTCCGATCTTATTTCACGTAGACCGTAACTGATCAATTTCTGATAGAATTATAATATTATCAAGCTTAAATTTTTCCCCATCATCATTACAGTTGACTCAATTGTTGCAGTTAGACACGTGTAAAACAAGAAATCTGATTCAAACATCATCATAGCATACACGAATATGTGCGAATACGTATTTATAATATTCTTCTTGAATAAAATGAAATAACTAGTATTAGATTGTTTCCATATATTCAGATTACGTAGTTTTCTGTACAAGTATCAAGACAATTTCGCATTCAATCAAAACCTATCGAACTGAAAATAAAACACAGTTTTTAACGACTCAAAGTTTTAGACTAAAGTTCATTCGGCAAAGTTTGAGAGGTTTTTATGGCAATTTTCTTAAACTTTGTAATACTAAAGATACTTTTTCAAACAGTTCAAGTTTTTAAGTCCTTTTTTTTTTACAAAAGCTAATAATAGGTAGGTGTTCAATCTTGTTCGAGCAGAAAAACCCTGTTTGTGTCAAAACTCTGTAACGTCATAGATTATGCAAATGAATATGCAATATCATTATGAGCACAAAGTAACTTTTTAAATTGAAAATATGATCATTCTTAGTAAAAACGAGCTTTTTGGTCAAATCAATATTCATCGAAGACATCCAGCGCCCACTTTGACAAAAAACTTAATTGTCTTTCCATTGGTAGATTATTTCTCAATTTCTGACTGGTTGAATTTTTAAACACTAGACAGTTTCAAGACATTTTCGGAAAAAAAAAAGAAATAGTATAAATTTTCATTTTCATCAGTTATCTTTTGTGTTTATAGATCATGTTCGATACGTTTAATACATTATTTGATACACTTCGTTCATTATTAACATCAAATGAAGCTATTGATGTAGAAAAAATTGAAACAATTACATCAAACAAAAGTAATTTCTTAAGTATTACATCTAATTCGGTAAGATCAACATTTTTTCTTAATTCATTTTCATAGAAAATAAATCTCTTGCTATTCTAGCCACAAAATGTAGCCCAACGCAATGCTCTTTCACGTGCTGACATCGATGGAATTCAATTTGATACGTTAACTGATCGTCGAAAATTACCACGTTTATTTATTGATGAATGTTTTGCTATTAGTGATTTATTTCAATTGAATGAATATGATTCTCTGTTACTATTGATCGAAGGAGAATCCTTACAATCAAGTTATCCCGATTGTACACGTGGTTTATTAGCTGTTCAATTGTATTATGAGTCAAAAGAACGTTTAGCTGCATGTTTAGCCTACTTAATGGGTTGTTTAACTGGTCGAACATTTCAATCGTTACTAAAAATATCGAAGTCAATTGAATTTTGTACGACCTTTGTTAATGAACTTGTTGAAAAAAAATTAATTGAAAATATTATTGAACAATTAATAACATTTCAAATACGAAATGAAGAACAACGATTGTATTCAAAAGCTGGCTTAGGAAATGTTAAACATCGACGACGAGTACAAGATTCAATAAAACATATTCGTTCATTTCAAGCTAAATCAATATTTTTATATAGTTGTCAAATACGTTTAACACAATCACATTTACTTTCCATTATTAATTATTTAGCAAAATATTCCACTATACAAGACGATGGTATTATTGATGAATCAACTTTATATCTTCTTGGGGCTTTTCTTTATGGAATAACATTAGCATTAACAATACCAAATGATGCAAGCATTGGCTCATCTTCTATTATTACTGCAAAACATCAACAATTTAGTTTACAAGAAGGTTTATAGAATTGTATTGTTTTGATTACATTTTAAAGTAAAATTCTATCTGTTTAGATCAACCATTAAGTCCATTAGAAGATAATACAACAACATCTCCTTCATCAATTGATCCAGCATTGATAATAGCTATTCGTGATATATTATCAAATGATGAACGTTGGATTATACCGGAATTAAAAGCAGTTTGTCAACTGGCGTGGGCAATTATTTTACGAGCACGTTCACATACATTACCAGACGGTAAATTTGTTATTTCTTTTTCTATTAGACAGTTTTCTTTTTCTTGTAGGACATATCTATTCAGAAGATATTGAAGCTCTAGCAGATATAGCCGTTGAAGCACATGTATTTGCATTCTTATCAGAAACAGTTATTAAAAGTTCTCTAATTCAACAAGAAGTAATTTGAAAATATAATTTGAGTAGGAGACAAAATGCTTATTTTATTTTGTAGGAATTTTTGATTCGACGTTTTCACATGCTTTTTGTGGATTTTATTTATTATTTACCATTTAAATTAAAAGAATTACGTGTACAAGCAGAAGATACAGCACGAATGATTGAAGATTGTGAACGTGCTAGAAAACCGTTGCCTGATAATTTACAAAGAGATTATGAATATTTTCTTGAATTAGTATGTTTTAGTTAATTAATTTTTATAAAAGATTTCGAAAAAATATTTGCCTCTTTTTCTTATTTAGCTTTCAACATTTTATGCAAATGATCATATGAACTTACATTTAAGTGAAGAATTTTGGATTGCTGCCGATGCTTTGGCTGGACATAGAATGATGCAATCACCAACACAACAACAAGTAAAGTGTCTGAATTAGACGGATATCGTATATTTCAATAATTATGAAGAATATATAGATAAAAACTCGAATCTTCCTATATATTAATATCTCGGGATTGGTTCAACTAAAATGATATCCTAAAAAATGTATCCATAGGATTCTCCTGAATTCAGCCAGTGAATTCGGATAAACGCTTACAGTCATATATCTTATGTTTGATGATAGGATATAAAGAGATTTTATAGAAAATCAAATCCTGGACGATTCCGTTCTATTGAAATTGTCTGATAGAAATAAGATTTTCCTTGTTACCAAATTAAAAAAATATTGAATCGCCAGAAAATAGTGGCTTCCATTTCTTTGATACATGAACTCGAATATTTAACTTATTTTGTGAATCTATTTTTGTTTATTAAATTAGGTTGCACTAGCAAATTTTGTTGAATCAGCAGGTGGAACTCTATCAGCATATCTCTACTGCCATTATATTCATATGTTAGCTGGTATTTCTTCGACGCAATCTAGTGCTCATGCTTGTTTTGAATTGCTTCGATTTGCTAAAGGTAAAGTTTTGGGCACAAAAACAAAATGTTTTAATTAGTTGTTGTGTTTTTATTTCATAAGATACCGGTGGACCGACTTGTTGGAATCGAATATTTCAAGCATTTCTTCTCTATCGCAATACATATCGACCAGATACACTACTGAATCAACAACCACAAACATCGTTTGGTGCATCACCATCTACATCAGCAATAAAAACTATTGCACCAAAAGAAGTGACTGCTCTTATTGCTGTTTTAAATCTCATTGAAGTTATTGCAGCACAAGTAAAATCAATTCAATTTTTCATGCTTAGAAACTCATTTTCTTTTATTCTTCTAATAGGACGAAGTCTCACGTATTGGATTTTTTGAACATCCGCAATGGCAAATAACTGGCGCTTTTTTTGGTCTATTATCATGTCGAATTTCTCTTGACTTGAAAGCAGCACTGTTTAATACTTTATCTGCATTTACAAAAACTGCTGAGATAGCAATGCATTTTTGGAAAATCATCGGAGAAATCGATGTAGGAAAATTTTTGCTATTTAGTCTTTTGTTTTCTAAATATTTTTCTCTTGTTGTTTTTTTCTTGAAGTTGTTTGCACCAATGGAAAATTCTGATATGCCAGCCATAGCTTATGAAATCGAAGAATTTGAAGTTCCAACACAGAAATATACTTTCTTGAAGTCGTGTCTGAAATTTCTTCAACCAATTATAGAACAGCAACTAAAAACCAATATTGACATGCGTTCATTAGGTCACTGTGTTGTTTTTCTGGTTAATCATGTTTTACTTAAAATACCCATAAGAACATTCAAATCAATACAAGAAAAAGTAATTACGCAGATCTTTATTTTCAATCAAAAGCACCATATACAATTATTTTGTTTTGATAATAATATTCTACGCTGAGAATATAATGAATTATATTCGGCACTTGAATTATCTTTCTATTTTTTATGAAATTTTATTGTTAGCCTAAAAGATGCATTAAACTGAAAATCATTCTCTGTATTATATGAAATTGACCTGAGCAATCAACGCAATGTCTGTAGTTCTCGAGACAGTCACAGTTAGTACTATAGATTGTCGTCTCATAGAAATTTTTGTTATAAATAAATATCTACTAATATTTAGTGAGTTCAGTGTAACCTCCAGATTTTAGTAGATTTCTATAATAGAAAACAGTGATTCCAGTACTAAGCGATCTTCAAGTCAGGAGTATTAGTATTGTATATTACGTTTATATGTTTTATC